CAAAACAAAAAAACAAATACACATCATTGTATAACCGATAGATATTTATACAAATGCAGTACCTACCTATTATAAATAATAAATATACTCCAAAAAATCTAAAAGATTATTTTCAAGAACTTCAAAAATTGACTTGGGAAATTATAGTGTAGCTAAGTAGTTAAATTTTGATCACCCCGTATTTTAGTTCATGTATATTGTTATGCTACTTGGTATGTATATACTCCAATTTACACGTAAATAGTTAAAACGTTTATGCATATAATGTTATATACTGCACTATATACTTATAAACTATTATACTTGCTTCACTGTAGTAAAAAATGACTTAAGGCGAATGCAAATGTGTACGTGTTGCCGTGTTGGGCGTGCTATGCAACAGGTCTCCGTGTATTATTCAGTTGCCGAAAAACAGTTAGCCTAAAATATATAATACGTATTATGTACAAGTACAACTATGTGGGTTATACACCGTTCCGCCGCGTTTCGGGACCAAATAATCTTTGTGTTTTGATTAACGACCAGTGCTCTGATGCTCGGGTAATTTGTAAAGAAATCATTGTCGGAATTCCAGATACACTGTCTATATCGTAAACTGTAAAACCGTGGAGGTGGCCGTGCATCATTAGTTTCTATGAACTTTTTTTGTTCTCGTGAGTTGTTATTAGTTTTTGTCCCACACCCCTCGAGATAGCTGCTACCTGCAGCCATCTCGCGAGCGCGTAATTATTTTTGAAACGAAAAAAGTCTTGACCATCGACGTCTGCTGTCGATTGGGTGACGTAAATTATTATTCTCCACTTTATGTTAAATTGAAAACGATTGTCGTGATTTTTTGCGGGTCTCCGGCATAATTATAAATCGTTGGACAGTGGTCATTTCAATCGATGGAGGGTATACTGCAGCAAGCCGCATAAACTGCGATTTGCTTATTTTGTTAACGACGGACTTGGCAACGTTTCGGTTGGAAAAGAAAAACAGTTAATTGCACATCGCTTGTGGTAAAAATATATAGGTAGTAGGTATTAAATATTATTTAAATGTGTATAATAATAATGTAACGATTACAAAACAATAATAATATGATTTGTATAAACTGGATACGTTACGAAGAACATGATGCGAATAATAATGTGTGAAATATAATAATAAAATAATATCAAATATGTAGAATAGGTAGGTATCTAAAAACATAATTTGATAATAACTTCACAAGCATTATAACTTCCGATTTTCTATTGAAGATATTAGATTAAATTTAATTATTAGAATGATCAGCATTCTAGCCAAGTATTATATTATATACTGTACAATTATTTTAAATTATTTTAGGTTTATCATATACGTAAATCTAAAAGAATAATAAATTATTACAAATTATACTACTATATAGTCTTAAAATTTTATTGTGTCACCGAATAGTTAAACACATGGATAAAATAAGTAAATATATTAAAATAAGAGCTACTATCCAGATATGGTATTTAAAAGTATATAATAATTATCTAATAATATCAGTGTAGTAATGTACACTGTAGTACACATCTAAAGTTAAAGCTGCAGCAAATTGAATACAATTACAAGACAAAGTAAATATACTTAATTCAAATATTCTATTTCATTAGCCAGATTAAAAAATAATTTAATGGAATATATAAATATTATATTATTACCTTATAATTATTACATATTATTGTAGTCTAAGTAAGAGCATAATTTTAGTCTTATAATTTTGTAAATAGTTATTAACTAATAATATTATGTTAAAAAAGGCATTGTGTGTTATAAGCAATAAAATGTAATAATTAATAACAAAATAGAGAATGTTATTACTTGTTATATTATTTTATTAGTGATGAGATGTATAGTCTGTCTTCCAATGAGATACCTACCTACTCATATATACCTATTTTTCGTAACGTCCCGTCGTATGAAATATATTTATTACTCACGTCCACTCTAACGTATTAAAGAAATATTACGAATTAGTTATTATACATTTATTATATTATACTATAAATATATGTTATATAATATATTATATTTATATATTTAAGGATACACAGCTATAATTTTTTTTATTTGACGTATACCATAAACCATTTGTATTCTACGTATAATAATAAATATTTTATTTATTGTCGCTCGCAAGGCACTTGGATCGGACGAATTTTATTGGTCGTGTATATTATATATTTTTTAATATTTTCTTTTACAATACCTACCTACCTACCTACCGTTATGATGTCATGTCGGTTGCAATAAAAACTATGGTCCTATATAGTCGGCAATATTTCGATACAAACCTACGTCGGTATTTTAAATAATCGCCTTAAAAATTAGCATACGTGCGCACATATATAAATTATATAATTGATTGCATATGTGCTTGTGCAGAAATCCCGTGTAATACGCACAATAAGTACCCATTATAATATTATTACGATATGATGATGATATGAGTATAATGTAACGTGTTCGTCGGAAGTTTGATAATTTTAAACCGAAAAACCGACGACGGTGCTCTTTTATGTCGTAAGACGCTTGATCTTCTCACGCCGCCGAATGGCGAACGAAAAAAAGAGCCCGATAATAGTTATGGGTAATAATAATAAAAAAAGTGTATCTCACGGGAAGCAGACCTATCGGTTATACCAGCGATGGTTTTGAAAACAACGACGTATACCGGGTATACCTATAACCCGATAATATAACGGGGGTGGTTATAGTGCCTCGGCGATACTCGTCGGACGACAGCCTCGAGCGACGGGAGGGCGGTCGTACATCGATCTCTGCCACTATACATGCGACAGGTATACACACGCTATTCATCATATAATATTATACGGTTTATCGGCTGTTATTATTATGTTGATCGTTATTATTATTGCCGTCGATATTGTTTTTAAAAAAAAAAAATAAATACTTAAAAATTTGGAGGGCCCAATCATGCAGTCTTCCCGCGGACCCGTCCGCGCGTTTACTCCCTTCTGCAGCAGTGTTTTCTACCCCCGGGTCTCTACACGCGTACACAAAATATATATTATATTTATCCCTCTGATCGTGTATATAATATATATATATATAAACTATTAATACGCCGAATTATTTTATAGCGTCAAATTACGACGTGTGTTGTTCGTTGCACGAGAGGAGGTCGACGGCGGACAACGTATTATATTATAGTATAGTCCACGGCCCGCGGCCTATTTTATTGTCCCAAACTGGATTAAAAAAAAAAAAATCATAAGAGGATGCTGAGACGAGCCTCGAGATTCGATTATCATTATTATCATTATCGTTATTGTACCTATATAATATATTTTTATGGCCGGTACCTCTATATATATATATATTTAATACCGTATGTGGTATGTATTAATATTATGTGTATATATATATATAGGAATCGCGGCACTTGCCCTCCGACTATCATCGTCGTGTTGTAAAGCGTGGAGAATGAAAAAAATAAAACGCGCTCTTTTTTTTTATGACTCCCACCCAACTAGAACGGATAAACTGGTTCGGTGTGTTACACACGCACCGCCACTCCCGTCCGAGAGAATATTAATTTTTTTCCACAGACTTTAATCCGATACACACATCACACGGTATAATAATAATACTCGTGACCTCTGTGCGCAGATGAGGGATTTAAGAGAGACTGCATTATTTTATATTATATGCATTATAGACGATTAATTATTCAAATCTCGACACATTCTCGCAGTGCTTTGCATAATTTAATGTCACCGGCGGCCCAGAGATTTATCTGACGCACACGGCAAATGAATGTTAATTATACTTGGCCAATTTCTGTGTTTTACCTGCATGCACAGTTTGGCGAAGATCGACGACGGTGTACGTGCAGACCATCGAAAGTCGTGAGAAGTTAGTAAGTAGGTAGGTACCTATCTGCTGCAGGAACGCAAATCACAATGCGTTTTTGTCTTTGAATATAATATAGTTTATTATATATATTATATTTCTTATAAACGTCAAATTAAGCATAAACAATAATTTCATATTAATCTAAATCGTCTAATATAATAATAATAATAAAAATAATTAAATAATGTTTTAAAATCTATTTATTGCAAAACAATCAAAACAGATTCCGTTAAATTCGAACGCGGAACCATTTGGAACTCTTTATAATATTATAAATAATAAAAACGTTACATTCTTTCTATCAATAAAAAAACATAATAATATATTAAATATTTTAACCATAATAATATGCAAAAATAATCTTAAACTTTAACAGTCTATATAATGAAAGTTGTTTACAAAAGTAGGTACCTACGTCTAAAGGTAATAGTAATATACATATACAAATAATAAAATATACAAACGTTTAAAATATAATATTATATGATTATTATATATAGGTATACACACTATTCGATTAAAATACTAAAACGATAGAACATTTGCCCGTTTGGACCTAAAACTAATGCATAGAATGGGAGAGAGAGTTGCTTGTCAAAATAATAAAGTGTATTGAGATCACTAAAACAAAATAATAATATATAATATGCTATCTACAATTTGTTAACAATTCTATTAATACCACTTTTGATTTCACGTACTTAACTAAAAAATAATTGCTCATAACATAGTATTATACTATATGGTAAAAGAATACATATTATACACTCTATATATATGTACTCATAATTTATATTTAAATAACTAATATAATATAATAATAAATAAAACCTGGACGGCGTTTTAAGATTTAAATATTAAATCATGTATAAAACTGTCACGAGCCTTCGACATCGGTCCCGAGCGTCGGACGTTTGTTTTAAATGCTTTCACTGGTACTGCGAATGATTCACGTGACGCGTAAACAATGCGAACACTCGACATCAGCTATATAATAACGTAATCTATATTATGTACATTGGATTTGGTCGGATCTAGGGCGACCGGCCAATCGGGCCGACGGCCGCGACCGCCGTATCGGTCCGAAGATCGCGACCCCGTGCAACGCGTTAACTCATCAGTTCGTCGATGCTGAACCCTTTGCGCTTGGGCGCGGCAGGCTGACCGTTGTTCTGATTAGGCGGCGGTTGCTGCGGCGTTGGCGGCGGCGCGGCGACCGCAGGAGCTGGTTGAAACAGTTGAAGCGACTGGTACGCGGACGGCTGCGGCGAAGGCAGCGCTCGAGGTGACGGTACCGGCATCACCATCCCCGTCGACCGGTCGTGCAAGTCTCTCCTGACGTTCAACATAGCTTGGTGGTGGTGGTGGTGCTGCTGTTGCTGTTGCTGGACTTGCTGGTGGTGGAGGAGCGGCGACTGTAGGAATAGATGCAGTGGTTGCGGTTGGTGGTGATTGTGCGGTTGATGTTGATGTTGGTAACGATTGTGGTGATGGTGATAACTGGACGACGGACGCATAGTGTACGCAGACGACTCGTCGTGACACTTTGTTTCGTGCACACCGGCTCTGGGTACGGCCGCCCGCCGGAACAACGAAATCTTACCGACGTCTTCCTCCTCTTCTATCTCCTCTTCAGCGGCGGCCACGGTCGCAGAACCCGTGTCCACGGACGACGAAGACGACGACGCCGGTTCCTGTTTTGCGACGGTGGCGGCTTCGGCGACGCTTGACGAACAGGCGGAGGTGGAAGCGGCGACGGCAGCGACTGGCGCCGACGGTTCTGACGCGGCTGCAGCCGCGTCCTCTTCGTCCACGTCCACGTCTTCGTCGTCGTCCACATCATCGCCACAGTCTTCGTCGTCTTCACCGCCTCGACCACGGCGGCGGCTCCGACCGGACGGAGTTTGCAGCATCGAGCACAACTCGTCCTCATCCTCGTCGTCATCATCGTCGCAAAAGTCTTCGTCATCTGCAGCCGATCGGGGTGCAATCGCGCCCGCACCAGCCGGTGACGCGGACGACGAGGACGCGGCACCTCCGGCACCCAACGCACCGGTGGCGGGCGCGTCGCCGACCGCGTGCGTGAGCGTGTGCCGGCGGAGGTCGCAATTCCGTCGAAACACCTTGTTGCACGAATAACACTCGTACGGCTTGTGGTCGGTGTGCGTGAGTAGATGCGTCTTGAGATTGCTGCGCTGGTTGAAGCTGCGCTTGCACACAGGACACTTGTGCGGTGACTCTTCCAGGTGCAGTATCTTGTGCACGGCCAGCGTGCGCGACTGACAGAACCCCTTGCCACATTCCGTGCATTTGAACGGTTTCTCCTTGGAATGGATGTACCTAGAACAAAAACAAAACCACGGTCGCGATTAGTTTACCAAGTCGTTTATATATAATATATTTAATATAACAAGAATATTATTATAAAGGTGGCCGCGTGTTACGCGTAAAATATTGTGCGCGGAGTCAATTATATGTTGTATTGTCGTCAGTCATCGACCGCGACGGTAATAATAATACGAACAGTATTAAAACGTAAAGAATATTATGAGCCTATTCTTATAATATTATAATGTACACAACCTTCTTCTCCCCCGCGACTGCCCAGTTATGGTGTACTACACAAAATACCTAACGAACCGTAACGAAATCCAGTCGGGAGCTAGTTCATTGCGCCATCATATCGCGTTTCGTCTCCGAGCGGAGGACCTATATGCGTCTTATTATTTTCTTCATCGATCGTATTCGTATAAGAGACTATAATAATATAATGATAATATTGCAGAAGACAACGCGTTCCAGCTTCCAGCATTCCATACACACACACACACATTATATTATATAAAATATGTAAACAAATAATTGTCGGTCGTTAGTTGGGTGCGCGCGCGGAGCAATGTATATAGGTACGTGAAGAAATTAGTAATAGTCTCGTCTGGTCACGACTTGACGGTCGTAGACCGCGACACGTTGCCGTCGACTCGCGTGGAAAGGGTTGTGTGATGGGCGGGGGGATCGAGGGCTACCACGACAATGGACAGACAATAACAATCACGGCGGAGGCGGGAGCGTCAGTAGCTGAGAAGTCGGGGCGGAATAGTGGGTGTAAGAGTAGCAACGCGTATAGTTGTACAAGCCGCTGCACCTGTCCACTCGCCGCCCCCGCATCCAAGACTTGCAGCAGAGCACATGGCAGGTAGTCATCGGCGGTCGCCAGAAGGAACGGAGAAGGAGGGGTAAATATAGGAAAACACCTAAGCGCAGTTCTATCTTCCACCCCCGCACGAGCTAAATTTTCAAGACCTTTCAGCGATAACTGAAAACCACCAATAACCGCGTGTGTATAGTAACACGGGTAATAATAATACGTAACAGAACGTAATGGATACGAGATCACAGCGTAGGGCCAATAAAGTTGCGTTGTCATATTATTTTTTATTAATATTATTTATTATTATTTCGTAGTAAATCGAGTGTCGTATACGCGAGAGCTGCGGCATCAGATATTATAATGACGACGAACGTTTCATGGCCACGAGAAATCACTACAACTGCACAAGCCTTTTCATTCCGAAACATCGCCTCTCGTCGTCGCGTCTCCTCTGGGCCACACCGCACCACTAACTCTCCGACCGTTGGAAATTCAATTTATCTTGTCCGCGCATAGCGTTGGTATATACACGTTGTTCTTTCAGTACGTCGTCTTACGTACGTATATATATATATATCTAATATTAATATTATATTGTATGTTCGCGGCGGCGATGTGTATAGCCACTATAGCCGTGTAATATCGTACACGCGTATATTATATATTATTATAAACACACACCAACCTCATTCTGTCCAACGGAGGCCAGGCCCCAAATGCTACGTTGCCACCTCGCCGTCGCCTCTGGACAGACCGGTTCTGATACTCCGCACGCCGGGCGGCAACGTAGTCAAGTCTCCGTCTCCGTCTCACGCTCTTTCTCTCTCACACTACCCATATAATAATATATTATCTGTTCGTCTCTCCCGCGCAACAGAGGGCCTCCACTCGGCGTTATTACATATTATTATTATATTGTATAGTGAATATATATATATATATATATTATAGGATATAACAATATAATAATGTCTTTATGCGCCGGAGACCGAACGGTAAGAAAATATAACATTAATAGGGAATTTACTTTTTAACCCGTACACACACACACACACATCCCCCCGGTTCGGGGATTATTTTTTCGAAAACCCCACGCTGTGCGATTCTTGTCAAATACATGTATACACCGCGTATAATATATGCGTGGCGTTTATATTATATAGGTACCTATATATATATAAGCATAACGAATTACTACGATATAATAAACACGTATTTTTTTCCCTATAATCCGATAAAAGTAAGCGCAGATATATACGAGCTTCGGACTTGAGGATTAACATAATCGGTCGGTATACATAAATTTGACGTTGTTTATTAGTAGTATTTTTTTTGTTTTTTTTTTTACTTACGACGCGTAAGTCGTACGTTTTCCGTTCAACGTGTCATATTATATTGATACAGGTACCCGCCTAGAAGGTTTATTGGTACGGTTATATTGTTATAGAGTTTGCACAGACGTCCAATGTAAAATACCAGTTCAATAACGTCAGGACCGATATCCCATCACGTCGGGCTAAATCTGTAGCCGTATATTATTGAGTCTTTCAATTAACGCTCTTCGTAAATATTATTGCGAAAGAAATATATATTGCACACCGCTCGTGATGGGATCGTCGAAAATCCGCGTGCAGGCAACTCTATTAGATTGTATAAAGTGCTCGGCACCGGATGTGGATTTCATTAATAAAAATCGAAAAAAAAAATCAACATAATATTATAAGTAAAAAAAACCCGTCATACTACGATATATCATGTTTGCGCGCGCGCGCGAGTATATAAAAATAAAATAATATAAAATATATGGAAACCAGTTTGAATTTTATATACCCATTAGAATCCGCTGATTATAATTTATGGAGGTTGCGGTACATATCATTTGAAATAAATTTACCAATGTGGTATACCTATACGGTACGAGGGTTTCTGGTCGAATAAGTGTACCGCCAGTAGGTTATCTGTCGGTCCCCGGAAAGTTTGTCGTTCGGTGTTTTTTCACACATCTCTCGTCCGCCGACTTTTCGGAATGCCTTTTAATGACGAACGTGTACGTGGTGGGTGGAAACGGTCGTGCGGTACGGAAAACCGGTTCTCTCTCTGTCTATACATTATTATTATTATTATACTCTCGGCGAGACTTTATACGTTATTCAAAGAAGGCCAGACGGAAAAAAATAAAATGGTATATAAAAACCATTAGTGAATATAATATTATATACGTACACACTACGCGTATGCACACGCACATAGGTGGTACACCACGTAATATACGATGGAAACACATTAAAGCGCATTTATAAATAACGCCGAATGTATTTGAACAGCCTAAAAGCGTCGTAAAAAATAACAAAAATCCTTTACTCTCTTATAGTCTTTCATACTCGGGCAAACATTATTATAATATTAAATAATGTACCAAACGCTATATCACATAAAATACCTCTATACCTACTATACGAGCATGCACAGGCGGAGGTCGTGATGATCACTCTGTATATACAATGCACGTTCTATACCGACGGGCTGTGCGGGGGCCGGTGCAGTGGTCGTTGTCGCGGCCGTGACGAGTCGTCAGCTCACGGGATGATAATTGATAATAAGATGTATTGTAATATTTGTGGTAATTTTTTATCGTGTGGAATATAATATTTATATCGAATAATAAAAGTACGATTCGGATGGCAGTCGTCTTATGCCCACACGACGACGATATGAGTTGTAAGCGGCCTCGTCGTATTATGCAGCGTTCTTCAGCAGCGTCAGTGACACGACTTCCACACAAGCATTATACCCGAGTACCATATATTATTGTATCGTCACACAGTGTTTATTATTATTAAAAGCGGATACGACTTGAAACTATTATATTAATATTATAACACTAACTGCATAACACAACTTTGTCAAGGGAAAAATTAACAACATAAAATACACCGCAATATCGGTGTATCTCAATCCACGGACAAATCGGCATCGGTGTACCTCGATTTTTCAACTAATTCGACCGAAATAGGCAATCACTAATCTGCCTGTTAAGTATTGGATAGCACTTGGTATATTTTCGAACGTATTTAAAAACTCCAAACTACTAACTATAAACTTTCCTGATATCTTTATGAACAATCTTTGAAACTTTCGTCAAAATCGGTCGAGTAGTTTTAACGTCTATAAGCTACATAAGCTATCTATATCTAAGAACATTGCCAATTGTTGTATATTAGAATAACATTCAATAAATTAAATGGGTATTAGTTCTTTTTATTAATAAAAACATAGAATATCAACTCATGGGTCTGCTAGTCTTTACAAAAAATGATTTATAATTGTATTTCTGTATAAGTATGTATAAACAAAAATGTATTTGATTTTCGTGGACCGAAACAAAATTCACGTCTGTGACTGTGAGCCACTCAATAGCAACTTATAGAGGTTGAAAAATGAAGCTTAAAACACACTTCAAGTCCCAATAAGGAATTAAGGAATCTATTGATATGATTTTTAATTAAATCAACCCAGTACTTTATGAGATTATCCGTTGGTAAAAAAAACGAATTTTACATTTACATAATATATAGATATGCATGCGACTGTAATGGTGTCGTTCAATTTTCGAGTTGCAATTTTGGTTCATTATAATAATTTAAATATTGGGAGACGGAGTGGCCGAGTGGTCTAAGGCGTCGGCTGCGACGCAGCCGACCCGAGTTCGATTCCTTGGCCATGGTCGGCATTTTTCTTCGGATAAGTCATGGTGTCCGGAGAACAAGTGCAGCCATCCCCCACCCGAGCATGGCAGATACCTACGGGTGCCCAACAAAAAATTCTGCCAAACACAATACACACGTGTAAAACCTTACCATTACAAACCCTACTACCTACAATCATAAAACCCCACAATCAGCTAATGGTCATAGTCACTGGGCTTTAAAAATCATTAAAAATAAAAAAAATAAATAATAATTTAAATACTTGAAAAATTGCTACCGTATTGTGTATACTATTAAATAGGTACTGTTTGTGTGAACGGGAAATGTTTTTTGTTTTAGTTCGAATTGAGAAGGAAATTACGTGGCGTTCAGACGCGTTTCTGCGGGGCACCGGAAACGACAACTAGCGTCGGACGCGTGCGCCTACTCCTACGCTCGCGGATATTGGCAAAAAAAAAATTGCACGCACGCTCTTCACCGCG